GGTGCTGCTACCGACCGAGAAGTTCTCGGCCAACCCACGCAAGGTCTTCTCGTCCATCGTACTCTACACGTCGCAGGTCGAGCCCGAGCCTAGCAAGGTTCTGCGAACGCTCATTACGCACAGCGGCGGCCAAGTGCTCTCGCACCCAAGTCGGTCCGCGACACACATGCTCTGCCTTCGACCGGAAGGCGACGCGTTCCAGCAGGCGCTCAACTGGGACGCGGAGGGCGCGACGCTGCAGACCGATACGCTATCCGACGAAGACGTGCTCCGCGCTGCGACGAGCTACGTTGCCACGAACGTTCATGGACCGATCCCCGACTCTGTCTTGGCCTATATCATTGGCCAAAGCCACTTGACCAAGCACCGCATCGTCAACTACCTCTGGATCTACGAGTGCATTCGCGTGAATCAGCTGCTGCCCGAGTCGCTCTATGGTTTTGAACACAACCACAAGCCGAGTGGCGCTCAAAACGTCACTCTCTCGGACGTGGTCATGGCGCTGCAGCGCGACTCGCAGCTCTTCCCGCCCGTCACGGAAGCGCTGCCGCTCGACATTTGGAAGGACATTTCTCAGGTAGCCACCCTACTGCGCCACGGCAGTGGTGATTAGCCTCCATGTAGAACGCGGCGAAAGAATGGGCCGACAATGCGTTTGTGGTGGCTACCCACATTGCCACGGGTCTGCGCCAGCGTATGCTCGAGGCCATCCAAGGCTTGGGCGCCAAAGTCGTCGTGCTCGAAGACGACGTCGATGATCGGGCGATGGACGGTGTGACGTATGTTGTCTGCGCGCACCAGACAGGCCGCGAGTTTCATTTCGCGTTGGCGCGCGGCAAGACCATCGTCGGCCTCCAGTGGCTGGCGGCCAGCCTCGCGCTGCGCACACTCCTCCCGGCCAACTTTGACGGCAAGTTGTTGCTCTCGTCGTTGCAGCCGCTGTAACATGGAGTCGTAGAACCCACGGTTCGCAACGCGCTCTGGTACCCGGCCAAGCAGTTTGGCTGCATCCCGGGCATGGAAGGTCTCATCATCACGCTCTCGGGCTTCACCGTGCGGTCCACCCCGAGCCGCGACGACATGCAGGCCATGATCCGCCTCGTTGGCGCGTGCTGGCTGCCCGTTCTGTCGCGGTGCGCCTGCTTATGCTACATGGTTGCTGACGTGGGTGAGGATACTTTATGTAGGAGTCACACGTCGCACCTGATCTGCTTTGAAGCGTCGGGCGAAAAGTACCAGCGGGCGCGCACCTGGGATCTGCAAAACGTCGTGACGTTTGAGGTGCGATATCCCTCGTCTTCTGTGCAGATAAAAGAATGTGGTGCTAGTGGATCTTGGAGTGCGTCAAGCAGTGGCGGTATGTGCCCGAGGCCGAGTTTAGCTGGGAGCCACGGCCGCCCAAGATGCCGAAATTCGATGTGCACGACGCGCTGCAAGTCCTCGAGGCCAAGCCACTTCGCAGCGTCACGCCGCTCAAGCCAAAAGAACCCGAGACGGCGTTCGTCTCAACGCTCACGACGCCCGTCCTTCTGCGCAGCACGCAGCCCGATGCGACAGACGTCCTGGCGTCTGCACCGACAGCGCCCATACCCGCAATGGCCACAGCTTCGGTCAAAACCTCGGCCAAAACCTCGGCTAGAACCTCGGCCCAGACGACTGCAAAAGCAGTGGCAATGCCAGTCAAAAAAGCAGCTGTGACGCCTGCGCGGGGCAAGAAGGCGGCCACAAAACGAGCCAGCCCAAGCAGTGACGCATCGGTTTCGGTACTGGAGGTTGTCGTGTCGCGACCTGCGGCAGCGAAGAAGACGCCGAAGGAAACCAAACGCAAGGGAAAGACCCAAAGCGAGCCCGAGACCAGCGACGTTGTCGTTCTCAAGCAGCGTCGAACCACCGCACGCAGCAAGGTAGTCCCCTTGCCACAAGACACATTGAACGGTGGCTCGTAGACGCCAAAGCGCATGTTTTTGCTCACAGGCACGCACGAAGAGCTTGCGATCAACGAGTCGATCGTGCAGTTCCTTGGCGGCGTCGTTGTGCACAGCGCGCGCGCGTTCGATCCGGCTTGCACGCACGTCATTTGCAAGGAGCTGCGGCGCACCGAGAAGATCATTGCAGCCTGTGCCTCTGGGAAGGTCTCTCTTCGTCTCGGTGATGAGTATCATGTACTCACATGCACTCGGTAGTGGATTCTTACGCCCGAGTATCTCAGAGACAGCCGCGCCCAAGGACTCTTTCTGAGCGAAGAAGGTTACGAGTGGGGTCTCGACAAGGTGTCGAAAGACCACTACTGCGACCCTCGCATTTGGCTGCCGGTCGCCAAGTACTGGCGCACGCACCTTGCCGCGGGCGGTGCGAGGGCCTTCGACAATTGGACGTTTGCAATTCTTGGTGAGACGGTGCCGCCGCCAAGCATGTGTACGCACGTGATTGTGGCCGCCGGCGGCGTTGTCCTCGACGTCGCCGCGCTAATCAAGAAGGTATTGTCGCTTATTTGGTGTTGAAGAAGACGACTCGAACAACGAGACTTGGTAGTTTCAAGCACACGACGACTTGGCGCCGATGGTGGTGCTTGTGGCCGACGCGGTCAAGAAGACGGACAAGGTGCTCAAGATCCTGCTGGAAAAGAAGGTGCCGCTTGTGAAGCCAGGCTTCCTCATCGATTACATTACGAAAGACCAGCACGCGCGGCCCGAGCTCCAACTGTACTACTACCTACCGTGAATGGGATCCCGTTGACCGATCGACTCTTGCGTTTACTTGAAGCCCAGGAGCTTGTGCACCACGCGGGGGCCATAGACCGCGTGAACACGGGTTGGCTTGACGTACAGGGCCTTTTGCAAGCGGCGTAGCGCCTCGTGCGAGAGTGCTGGCGTCCGGTCGCTTATTTTGGCGGCGTTGAACAGAGGTCGCAGGACACTTGGTTCATCCACCGGGATGAGATCGAGGTACTCGAAAGAGGAGAAGGTACGTACTGCAGCGGTCCGTCATCAAGGTGCCACCCTGGTGCGCCACGTCATACGGCGTCAGAAACCAGCAAAACGGGCCGAGGTCCTTGGCGTTGCAGCCCACGAGCGATTGCAGCGCAGCGAGAGGCTCGACATCGTCAAGCATCTGCGGAGTCTCTTGAAGGTCGATCAACATGGCGTAGGCTGTAGCCAGCACTGAGGCACCGCTGCTGTCTGTATGCACTGGGGTGCTGATGCCAAGCACAACGTCGCTCCACGCCGTAAGCGGAGGTGTTGCCAAGCGACAGATGGCGGCGCCCGAGGACAAACTCAGATCGTAGAGCGCCATGAAGCGCCAGCCGTGCGACGCCACAAACAGCACGGCGTCGAGAACGAGCTGTTCGCGCTCGCGGCTCCAGAACGCGGGTATGCTGAAGCGGGTGAAGCCCGGCTGGACGGCGCCGGCGCCCCGGTGCTCGAGTGAGAACAGCACGGCCGCAACCTCGTCCGAAATGCCGAGAAGCTGCGCGCCGTAGGGTCCTGCGCGTTTGGATGCCAAAGAGGTCGCTCAAGAGTCGCGAGACAAAGTTAGGGTGCAGGAAGAGCGATCCACGTCGAATCAAAAACGAAAACGTCGGGAGGCGGGGCGCCGCCGGATCGCCGGGCAAGACAACGCACGGATGGGCCTGCAGCGCTGCGGTGACGCGCGCCTAGTCGCACCTTGTAAGCGTCTCGAATTGATCTCGTATAATGCATACAGCGATGGCATGCTCGAGGTGTACGAGGTCGCCGAGGCTCGCTTTGAGCTGAAAGGCGAGGGCGGCCCGGAGCGCGCCGACAACGTCCGGGGTTCCCCTCTTCGCGCTCCTCGATCGTCTCGGTGTACTCGTGCATTTGGTGCGACACGAGGCGGACGGTACCGCCGCCAGGATACACGGGTACGTCGTTCCATCGAGGCGACTTGGACGCTGCCCAGCGACGAGCGCGCCTTAGCACCCGCGCGGGCCACCACTCGAGGCGCCCCAGCGTCTCGGCCAGCAGTGGCGCACCGTTTTCGCCGGTCTCGAATAGCGTGTTACTTGGTGCATGGAACAGTGCGCGACGGGCCACGAGGATGCCCGGGGCGCCGGGGCCGCCCATAAACTTGAGCATGGAAAAGAAGATCGCGTCCTTCGCCACGCCGCCCTCGTGCATGTCCACGTCCATGTACGGGGCGCCAGCCGCATAGTCCCAGAATGCCAGGGCGCCGTAGGCCTTGAGGAGCCGCGTCACGGGTACCACCGCCGTCGTAATGCCAGAGATGTTGGACGCAACAGAGAAGGTCCCGATGAGCAGCGCTCGTAGCCGATAGCGCTGGAGCTCGATCTCCAAATGGTCGAGGTCGATCCCGCCAGTGGCACCCGGTCGAATGCTAGTATTGTTGAATCTGTCAAGTTGGTACCTTGATAGAAAATGGTACCGGACGATCGTTGCGCCAGATTCGCGCCACACCAAGTCGTTCGAGTGGTGCTCGTACGGCCCGAGGAACACGACGGCCTTGTGCAGCTTGTAGAGGCGGCGAAGGCGTCCAACGAGCAGCTGAATAGCACCTGTGCAGCCAGTGCCCGCAAAGAGTCTACGACCATTCGTTGTTTGCTCAGTATGATGTACTACGCAAGCGCAAAACGTACACAACGTCCTGGACCGCATCGGCGCCGACGGCCGATGCAATCGAAGCGCGGGCCTCGGCGCGCCATAAATGCATTTGGTGTCCGCAGTACGACGTCTCGGTATGCGTGTTGGCGTAGAGCGGCAGCACCGCGCGCGAGATAGTGTCTTCGATGGAGGCGACGGGTCGACCCGATGCCACGTAGTCGGCGTACACGAGCGCTCGGGCTCCAAAGGGCGTGGCTATCACGGGGCTCGTGTCTGCTGCCCGCAGCTTTGCAATCGCGTCGCGTTCGTCCATCGAATCTCGTTCTGGGCCTTCCGCTCCATAGCCATGGCCACAACAATCCCATGCAAGATCGCGCACCGTTCATTCGCGCGTCGATTTTTTCCCGCGACCCAATCAGTAGGCAGGAAAAATAGACGATCCAATCACGCGTCGCTCAGGCGCAATCTCGTCGCCACGGAGCTCACATCACCTCGAGCGCGATCCAGCAAGGGACGCTGGCTACAGCAGCGTACTCGCGATGTAGTTCTTGAAGGGTCGTTGCTCCCGTGACCATGCGTCGACGAAAAGCCACGCGGTCGCAGCTGCGCTCCCATTGGATGTGGGAGTTGATGTGGCATATGCCTAAAAGAGCAGGGCGACTGCTGGCATATGCCTAAAATAGCAAGTCGACTGCTGGAAATGCCACATTGGCGACTACGAGCGGACGAATGACGACGGTTGAGCGCATCACAGCCCGCGAGCTCGCGGCGATCCTCAAGGACCCGGTCCGCCGCCAGAGCGTGCGCATCATCGACGTCCGCGACTCGGACTTCATTGGCGGCCACATCCGCGGCGCCGTGAACCTCCCCGAAGACAACTTTCAGGACGACGATGACGTTGACGCGATCGTCGAGGACTTCAAGGCCGTGCCACAGATCGTCTTCCACTGCATGATGAGGTACGCGCATGAACGCAAGCTATTGCTGGAAGAGCACGCAACGTTGTGCGTAGCCAAATCCGCGGGCCCTTCTGCGCCAAGCGCTTCAAGAGCCGCATGGAGATCTGCCTCGAGGGCGCGCCGCACAAGCCCGACGTCCGCATCCTCTCTGGCGGCTTCCAGCTCTTTGGCCGCGTACAGTCCATCTCGATGCACCTCGGGGCGCTCACGATGAAAGGCGTAGGAATACCGCAACGACCCCGAGCTGGTCGAGGACATGGATATCTAGCGTGTTCGCTCTCCATCCATGGCCTGCACCTCAGCGATCGTAGATGGAATAGACTCACAGCAGAACTCTACGTACTTACTACTTTTACGCATGTGGCAAGGAACCCAAGGCAGCTCATTCGTCCTCGCGCGTCGCCGCCAATATCGCTTCGGCTTCAATGTCGGTGATGAGGCAGGAAACGCGAGCAATGTCGTGGGCGTGGTTGGCCTGGAACTGCCGCGTCTGCGCGACCGCGAGCTTGTCGATCCAGACGTGCTCGGGCTCGTTGCGCTCGTGAAGCGACCGAACGAGTCGACTGGTCTCCTGCAGTGGCAAGAGCTCGCCGTCGCGCCGCGAGCCGGTAAAGTCACAGCCCTCCTGCACGAGCGTCTCGCATTCGGAGAGAGGCGTGCCCACGATCCTATTGGTCTAGTGCAACAGATGCTCGCGGAATAAGACATTACGCACCAGCTGGACCAGCTATACGTGAGCGGGCCAATCGTGACGGTCGGGTCGTCCTCGATCGCCTGCGTGAGCAGAAGCCAGCGGTGCTCCTCGCACCGAAACTGCGTGACGTAGCTGTAGCAGCTGCCGTTGCCAAGCTGGACGGAGGAGTAGTAGACCGTGGGATGCGGCTCCTTGAAGAGCACAGTCTGCACCTAACAAATACCGTATACCGTAGTGAAAGACAGATTCCCATGATGGGGAGGGGAAAAGTCCCACTCTACCTCCATCACCGACAACATCGGCAGGCGCTTGTACGCCTCAATGATCGTACTCGGGTGGGCGCGCAAGATGTGCTGCTTGACGATGCGCGCTCGGTACGAGACCCCGAGCGCCTCGGTCGTCGAAGCGAGCCATGGCTTGCGGGACACGGGGAAGCACGCTGCGTCCAGCGCCTTGTCGACGGCGTCGTACAGAAAGTCCATCATCCACGCGGCGCCTGCGCGGCGCAGCGGCGGATCCTGCGACAAGGCAGCGTTGCGCCACGTGGGCACATTGCTGGCGACCGTACGTGGCAGCGTCGTCGTCACGAGGAAGCGCACATCGCGCAAGAGGTCGTCGATGCGGCGGCTGTTGGCGCGAATGCTTTGCTTCAGGAGCTTCTTGGTCCACAAGGCGCGTTGCGTCTTGGCCTTTTGCGTCTCCGTGTACGCAGCGCGCAGTCGGTCGGCCTCGAGCGAGAGCAATTCAAACTCTTGGCGCACCTCGGTCGCGCTGCCCCGCAGCTTGTGGCGGCTCCGTCGTTGCGTCTGTTGCCGGGCACTCGGTGTCTCGATGCTGCATTTCGGGACAGCAACCCGGTCGAGCGTCGGAAGGTCGACCTGCCACACTGACATGCCACGTGCTCATTTAAATGCGATCGTGGCCAAGACCGACATGCGACCTGCTCGCTAAAATGCGATGCACAAAAATTAAAATCACAACGGCAATCTCAAAGAGCAAACTCAAACTCAACCATGCCCCGGCAGGCCAACTTTCGGGCCACGTACTACAAGAGCCTCGGTGTGCAGGGGAAGGAGGTCGAGGCGACGTTCGCATCGCTCCTCGGCGAGGCGCAGCCCAGCATCAGCCTCGTCGAGAACCTCTCGCAGCTCATCCACATGACGCTCGAGTTTGGCGTGCCGGCGACGTACCGGCCCACGATGTGGTGCTTGGTGGGCGGCGTGCTTCCGCTCGTGCGCGACGTCGACGCCGACACGTGGAGCTTTGTGCGAAGAGAGAAGCGCGTGATGTTTGCCGACGTGCAGATGGCGCTCCGCGTGCTCAGCGGCGCGACGGACCTTCCTGCGCTCGTGGCCTTTTACATGGCGCACGTTCGCCCGCATTTGGCGGATTCGACCCGTACGACGCATCTCCGTCGTCGCCTTCCTCATGGAAATGGGTAGCGCTGAGCTGGGTCATGGACGACCAGCAGGTGACGACCGGCGTCTTGCATGCGATCGGCCAGGTGCTCGACGACCCGATGGAGCAGTTTTGGTGCGCCATCACGTTCCTCGAGCTCATCGACCGAGGTGCGGTTCTTCGCCCGTCGAGCGTGCAGTCTGAGCATGTGCGTAGGTCTCGCGGACCTTCGACCGGTGATTGATGTGGCCGAGCTGTACCACATTTCGCCGTTGGGCCTCGAGACCATTGTGTTTCGCATCTGCGCTACCAAGCCCGACAAAGTCGAAAACTCATAACTTATCGCGAATACCACCACACGCAAGTCCGTTCTAAACCATGATCGTCGCGGCTTCGCGCGTGCTGTCGCCGTCCTTGGCGACCGCCTTGGGCTTCTTTGTCGCTGACGACGGACGGCGTGTCTTCTTTCCCTTGGCTCCCGCCACGTCAAAGTCCATTTGGTTCTGGTCCTCTTGGATGATGGGCCAGAGCAGCTTGAAGCTCGCCCAACCCGACGCATACTCGGCTGTCGACGTCGGGATCTTTAGCATGTGGGGGCTCACGAGGAACGACGCGACGGACAGGTCCTGCGTTTTGGTGCTTCGCGACGGCTGGTACGTCTGGCACTTGTCGTCGTCGAGGTTATACGTGCTCTTGAGGTGGCTCTTGAGGCGCAGAAGCAGCGCGAGTGCAAATGCCAGGCTGCACGTCTTTGTCAGCTTGTCTGGAAAATCTTCTTTTGTCGGGATCGGCCACTTGTGGTCAAAGTTCAGCTTCGGGTACGCCTTCTTGACGGCGATGAGCACAGTCCTGCAGTATAAGATAAGCTGCTGTACAGGATGAAAGCAAGTACGCACTCCAAGTGGAGCGAGATGTCGCGATTGATTGTGTGAATGAGGTAGAGCGGCTCGTCCTCGGTAGCAAACGGAAGTCACGCGAGGATTGACGTAATGTACGCCAAGTACGAGAGGCCGCTCTCGCGCGACAAACTGCCGTCCGCCATGGACTGGAAGATCTGCCCCTTCTCTCGAAAGTGGACGAGAAGCCCGTTAAAGAACGAGTGACGGCGAGCGCGATCTGGCTGCATGCACAGCTGGTACATTCGACCAAAGAGACACTAGACGTGCATGAGATCCCATCGCAAAGGAAATTGCTTACGTTTTTTGTCGCATCCTGGACGGTCCAGGAGCGAGTCATCTTGAGCTGAAACATGAACGACTGGTAGATCCCGCGCACGGCGGGGGCAACGACGCTAGCCTTGCACTTGATAAGCGCTTCTTCGAGGTTGCGGTAAGCTGCATCGCGCACCACGGCAACCTATGACGTTATCGACTTTGAGACCAGCCACTCGAGAGTGGGACGTGACGTACTCCGTCCGCCTCCAAGGCCACGAGAGTTGCAAAGCATTCCAAAGGGTTGATGACGCCTTGGGTCACAAGCAAGCCGATGCACGCCACCGCTTGGCGCCGAATCATGGTTTGCTCGTGCATCGCAAGCGTCAAAATGTTGCCGAGTTGAGCTTGCATGATGCTCCCAATGAGCGACGTGTCGCCTTGCTGGTCGCCTTGGACTTGCTGTTTGTGCTGCTTTTTGGCGGCTTGTGCCTTCTCGAGGCGAGCTTCTTCGGCTTCGAGCAGCTCTGTGAGGCTCACAACCATTTGGAGCTGGACGTTGGCGCACTCGTGGGCCAGCATCTTAGTGATGACGCCATCTTCATAGGCCTTGAGGAAAAGCCGTGGGTGGCGATGGAAAAGGAAGCCAAAGCCCTGCACGTTCTTCACCTGAAACGCGACTGTGAATGACGGATGCGACTGCGGCAAGAGCGTAAACCGATAGTACACGCTGTAGACACGCTCAAGGATCTAAAATGTGCGCGTCAAAACACATCTCGTGGTCCCATTCATAGCGTACCTTGCCCGTCTCGATGCGGATGTTAAGGTTCTCGTAAGCGTCCCAATCCAAACTTCCGCAAATAAGGCCCGTCACGAAAAGCGCGCGTTGCAGTTGGTACTGCTGCCCTGCCGCGAGACTCGGACTATTGCTCTTCAAGATCGGTTCCATCTACGATAATTGTAAGCATATCAACCCATATCGTGGTCCGAACCTTCACGAGGAATGTGTAGAACTTTTCGAGGAGGTGTGAAAGCACGGTCGGCTGGCGCTTCGTGGGTGCGTCCAAAACGAGACGTGCGAGGCATTCGACACTGGGCTTGACGACACCAGGTGGAGCTTGGAGCACAAGCGCTTGCAAGTCCGCTTCGAGGGCACGGATCCAGGTTTCGTCTACAATCGCGCGTGAGTCGCCATTCGAAAGCAAAATGTGCCCTACTCGACTTCTCCATGGCCGAAAACACTAGCGAAATCATGCTGATCGTCAGCGCAAAGACCTGGGCCTGGACATCGCGGTTGAAGCGGCTGTCTGGCTTGAGGTACACCACAAGGGTATCTTTGTACGGCTCGAGGAGCTCAGGGATCGCCGAACAAAACACATGCAGCGTCTTGAGCGTCGCGACAAACTGCTTGTCGGGCTCTACAAGATTGAAACGATTTAGAATCATTCGGTAAAAAAGGTGCATACCTCGGCAAGTCAGGTGGGGCAACACCGTGCCTTCTTCGAGTTGTAGGAGGAGGTCAAGAAGGCCAGCGACAATCGACTCGCAGTAATCGTCAATGTCATCTCCCGCGATCTTGCGCAGCCGCTGGATGAGTTCGACAAACCAGTCGGCTTTGGTCACGCGCTGAACGACTTCCATGATTGAGAGCACGCGATACGTGCCGTAGTCGGTTGTCTTCTTGGACTTGAGCTTCAGGAGGCTAACCGGGATTACAGCGCCGTCTGCGTCACGCTTCTGCAATGCGGGCAGACTCTCGTCAAACCAGACCTCCTGGAGCGTCGACACGATGAAGTCCTTGATCGTCTCGTCTTCAGTAGGATCCGCGAGCCGCTCGATCAAGGTCCGGAGGCACGTGGAGACAATCGCGTTGGCCACGTCGAACTCGTTGACGATGTAGTGGCGATAGATCTTCAGGACGCTCTTCCGGACACTGATGCCCTTGTCGCGCACGCGGTCATGGAGCATCTCGGCGTAGCGAGGAAACTACGTGCATTGTTCCATTAGCAAGCTTAATCACACATAGAAGAAAAAAGTTGTCGTACCAGAGATGGCTGGTCTTCGACATACTTGCCAACGAGCTCGACTGAAGCTTGGCGCACGGCATTTGACTCGTCCATCAAGCAGCTCGTGATCGCTTTCTGCAGCGCTTCGCTTGTCATCAAGGTCGGGTCCGCATCAATGATGCCAACGATGGACCGCAAAACACGTGTCCGTAGCGTCGATTGGCCGCGCGACAAGAAGCCGAGGATGTGCAAAAAGATCGTCTCGAAATGCCCGCAAAGCTCACGGCCGGCCAAGAAGTAGTCGACGACGCTTCGCGCTTCGTCGCGGCTCAAGTTGCATGACGAGGTGGCCGCAAACCCTTCGTCAACGCGCGAGAGATGAAAAGCTTGAGCATCTTCTGAGATGTGGGCCGACTTTTGCTGCACGTACACGAGCAGCAGCTCCGAGGCCGACGTTACGTTGCTCTCTTCCATATTGTGGAGAAGACGCTTCTCGGACGCTTGGGTACGGCACGTGATCGTCTTGAGCGACGCTGCGATCTTGCCAAGCAAGTGCAGGGCCAAGACGGCAACTTGAGTCTCCGGCTTGTTGGACATGAGCAAGCCCGTGAGGCCCGCAACAAGCGCCTCGACGAGCACTTCAGCCACGGGCCAGTCCGGCGACGAAAGTAGCACGAGAACGTCCTCGACAAAGTGCTCAAAGTGCAAGCGCGCGTTGACTTCGTCATCCTTCTTCATGCACTTGAGCAAAAGAAGCTGGACCACGGATCGCGCCGTCTCGTGCACTTGATCCATCGACAACACGATACACGACTGGACAAGTGTCGCCAAAAGCACGACGATGACTTGCACGTAGTCATCGTCCACCTTGTACGTCCGCAGGTTGCGCTTGCTCGTCGAGAGCTTTACGAGAACGTAAAAGACGTCTTCGAGAAGAAGCGTGCGGTGGGCAGGGTAGTGCACAAAGATCGCGCGAAGCATGCGCAGTGCACCCAGCTGCACGGTCGAGATCGACGTCTGCTGATTGTCCATGGCAAACACGGCCATGAGCACGTTCGAGAGTTGAAGAATCCAGCTGTCCTGGAGCTTGAGACAGCCCATGAGCTCTTGCAGCGAGTCCAAAAAGCTGTAGACAATGTCGACAAGGCCAGCCTTCTCCATCTTCTTCTTGAGCGCTGCGTGCGCCTTGTCCTTCTCGTTCTTTCTTTCCTTCTCGCTCACAACGACCGAGTACGTTGCAGCGTCCAGCGCCGGGTAGATCAATCGCTGAAGCACATGCTTGACAAGCAAGACGCAATGCTCAATGTGTTCTTCCGAGAGCAGTCGGCGGTCGACGTCCGGCGACGTCATGACGAGAAGCATCGATGTCGCGGCATCCAATGCTGTGTTGACATCTTCAAGGAGGCGTCCTTCATCTGCCAAGCGTTCTTGCACGAAGAGATCAATCTGCCGGGCCTCCGTGACCTAAGATGCACATTAGTATCTACTTCAACTCAATTTAAGCGTCTACCTGGACGTCGAGAAGGATCATGAGATCCAAGAGCTGCTCGACCGGAAGCCGTGCGATCACGAGCTTGCTCGACTTGTGCATGATGTAGAGCATATGTCGGATCTTCTTCGTCGCGCGGTGCGCACTGCGCGGGTCCGCCAAGTCCATCGACCACTGCTCGAGGGTCTCCTGATGTTTCGCGACGCTCGATGCCAGCTTGGTCTCTTGCGTCTCGAGAAGACTCGGGTCGGACTCCGTGCGTGCCAAGCGCTTCCCCTTTCGCGCTGAGTCGTCCATCATCGCCGACTTGCGCTTCGCCGAGCTTCGCGTCGTCGCGGGTGCAAGCACGTTCTGGGCCACAGCCATGCGGAGCAAGGGGGAGATGGATGGCTCCGTAGCGTCTTCCATACTCGGGGGTGTACTTCCATGCGTCGGTCTACCAGAACACGACGTCCATGAGCTTCATCATCCATCGAGGTTGCCTGCACGTACAGGAGCGATGGTGGTACGGCCGCGACGAGCGCATGGAGCGCGGCCATGTCCACGGCCTCTGGGTCGACCGAAGGTTGCATGGAGCGCGTCCGTGGTCCCGGTCGGAGGTTCCATCTTCCCATCTTCCGCGCGTCCGAGCGCATCGGCAGCGGGAACGACCGGCTCATGATCTCTCGCGCTCAAATCGGAAATCCAAATTCGATTCATTCTATCTCGTGTCATACACTATTTTGGGTGCATTGAACCGCCCACCTATCACGGGTCGCCAGCGCCGTCCGTACCTCGAGTGATACCCTCATGCTATCTACCATAGTGCATAGATGACAACCGCAAGCTTGACGCAAGCGGACACGCGGTCCTGTCTGTACGCTCTGTCAAGAGAGAAACCGGTTCGTTTGGTGTAAGAACACTATTTCAAGACTCGTGGCCGACGCCTTGGCGCAATTCCGGATATACTTCCGGCTCGTTATCCGGACGTATTTTGGATTCGGTTTTTGCCCCATGCTCGAAGAGCGGGTGACCTGCGTCGGCGCTGCGTCGGCCAACCGGGCGCTGGTCGCGACATGCGACCACTTCAACTACAGGTGGATGTTCCATACGTCGGAGGCCTCGATGGCGCTGGTGGTCTCTCGAGGCGCACTGCTCCGAGGCTCCGATACCGAGCCAACGACAGCCGATTCGTTCGAGCCGCATCAAATCCTGCCGCTCCCAGCCGCGGCGCAGAGCATTGCACTGCATGCAAGCTCGCTTCGCGTAGCTGTGGCGTGCGTGGATGGGCGAGCGATGCTCTTCGGGATCGCACACCGATCGCCGCCGATGAACGACGACGATGCCCACTGGCAGTGCGAGGCAACGTGGCGGTATGTAGCCGCAGCACGACAACATGTAATATGATATGCCATGTCTAGGTGCGAGGCCGATATGCAAGCGCCTCTGCAGTGGTGCGAGACGACCGACGACCTCACGCTGGTCGCGGCAGGTACACGCATGACATCGTGGAAGGTGGTCCACGACGCCGTCACGGTCTACGCCCACCGATCGTTTGACCTGTGCGTGGACGCTCCCGTGCACTTGCTTGCTGCTGCCTCGGACGGGCGCTACATCGCGACGGGTGCCACGCCGCACTCTCGACTTCTTAAGGTGCGTTTGTTGTCTCCAGCTTGGCGCTACGTGTTCGTAGGTCTGGTGCATGGAACCCTGGCCGTCCGAGACCGCTGCGCCATCGTGCGTCTTCTTGGGTCACGCCCGTGCGGTGTGTTCCATGGGTAGTCTAGTGTGAATGCCTACACGTCTTACAACCGCGCCTAGAGTGGCTCGATGCGAGGGCCCAAGGGGACAATGCGTCGCTGCTCACGCTCGACAGGCGCGGCCAGCTGACGCTCTGGCGAGAAGACTTGAACGGAAGCCCGTTTGCGTTTCTCCAGACACTGGCCATCGATACAACAGCGATCCTCTCGCAGTACTCGTCGGTGAACCTCGTCGCGTGCGGGCTCGTGGCGCGACCGATGACTCGGCCGCTTGCACGGACGACCCTCAACGACGGTCTTTGCTTCTGGGAGCTCACGCCCAAGAGCGAGCCAGAGCATCTGGTGTACGACGATCACCGCGGCGTCGGCCAAGCGGCTGGCTTCTTCTTCCGATCCGGTGCCACGGCCGACACGCACCAAGGTGCATCCGATGCTCTTCTTGATCGATCGGGTCGTATGAAGCGATGGTCGTAGGCGAAAAGTTCATTCCTGGCAACGTCGCACTGCAGACGCACGCTGCCTCGTACGTGGTCTACGGCGTCCTCGACAATGGCGACGTGTGTTTTTGGCGTCTCGACTGCGTCTCGCTCCTGGTACTATGGCTCTCCTCGCACGTATATGCCACGGTCGGAGCTTTCTCTGTCGTAGAATGCAACGCCACGCAGCCATTTGCTGGGCACGTTCTCGGGGCTTCGCCAGCTTTTTCGGTCCGCGACCCTCTTGCATGTCTCGACGTCGCTCTCGGGCCAGCATGGTACTCGACGTCTGTCCATGCGACGGCCAACACCTTGTGTAGAGGCTCCGGTTGTCGCGTTCCTCTTGCAGTCGATGCCGGTGGGCGAGCTGCAGCGCGTGCAGCTACGCGTGAACGGCGCCGAGGTGGACCTCATATCAGCGGTGGATGTCTACCCGCGCATGGGCTCCCACGCTCCCATTGCCGCGCTCGTGGCGTCGTCGACGTCGACGATGGGGTTCATGGACGCGAACGAGACGCTCTTTGTACTGAGCGACGGCGCGACCCTCCAGAAGCTCGCCCACCCGCACCTCGAGTTGACGCACACGCGGTTTCCGTCGACAACGTCGGTCGTCACCGCCGTCGTCGTCCTCGATGCTGACCTTATTCTGTGTGCGACGGCCGACAGGGAGATCCTCGCGCTCTGCGGCTACGACAACCATGCCAAGGCGAACGTCCTCACGCTTGCGACGACCGCCTCGGCCCTGCGGCGTCTTGTCGTGCTACCGACGACGCTTCTCGGGCTCGGCGACGATGGCAGCGTGGTCGCATGGACGTTTTCTCGATCGCCGCTGTTGCTCACAAACGCTCAAGTGTGGGCGATCGAGTGGTCCTCAGTGCTGTACATGGAGCGGTATGCCTTGGGCGACGGCGCCTTCCTCCTCGCAGCCTCGTCGCCGTGCTCGCTGAGTACGTGGTCGGTCGCCACTGGCGCGGTCTTGCACCGCTTTGACTTGCACCACTGCGTCTTCAAAGCCTCGCGCAGCGCGTCGATGGCACGTTTGCGCTGTTGCTTGATGACGAGCGCGACGACAAGGATAGCCGCACTATATGTGTGCACGCACCGTACGATGCGGTCGCGACGGCGCAATGGACCGTCGACGCGCGGACAAGCGCGATCGTTTGGCTCCAGGACGCGTTCGTGCTCTGCCTCGCGCGCGGCGTCCAGCTGACGCTCTACAGCGGTCCGACCGTGCTATGGACCATGGACATGGCTCTGCCGCAAGCGACGACCTTCCTCGTCCACGGCGGCACGCTGTACATGAGCCGCGGCGCACTACTAACGAGCGCCGTTCTCTTGCCAAAGGAGCCTTCGTCGCCGAGCGTGTGGCCGCCGCTGCTGCTGTTTCAGCTGCTTCGACGCGGCGCCTTTAAGGCGCTCGGTCGCTTCTTGGACGCACTCAAGAGATCGCTCGAGGCGTACGAAGAGACGTGCTACGTCAACATGCACGCGACGCCAGTGTACGCTCCCCCGCGCCTCGCGTGGGCCAGCATCATGCTCGACCCTCTCTCGGGCAAGGAAGATCTCTGGACGCCCAGTCGCGCTGCACCAAAGGACTGCGCCGCGCTCTTGTTCGCCCCGCGCGTGCCAATGAAAACGAACGCCCAAGACACGGTCGACTACGAAGCGTTCTTTACCCCCGCGCGCATTTCGCTGCTGGGCCTTTCCGATTCCAAGCCGCTCACGTCGCTCGCGTCCATGCTGCGGGTCGTCGACGACGTCGAGGATGTGCCCGGTATGAAGTTTGCTCTCGCCTTGCGCTGGCGCGAAGACGCGTACGTTGGCTTGAGCGCCGAGGCGCTGCTCTGGGCGCGGCTCTCGAAAATGGATTTCTTGATGGCCTTGCCGTGGCTCTCGCAGACCAAGTGGACGTGGGACGACGTGCGCGATCTCCGCTTACCCTTCTGGCTCGACGACACGGCCAAGCTGCGCGAGAAGACCGAGCAAGTCGCGCAGTCGGCGTATGCAGGTACCATCGTGATGCGATATCGGCGTTCGTCTCTATCTTCTTCTATGTCATAGCCTCCAAAGATCCGTTTGACGTCGCGCTCTACTATGTGCTGCTGGGCAAGACGCGGCTCCTCGCAGGACTCTTTCGACTGGCCAAGAAACAAAATCGCCGACCTTCTCACCAACGACTTTGCCGACGACCGGTGGCGCACGGCGGCCATCAAGAATGCCTTCGTGCTCAAGTCCAAGGGCCGGTAGATCGATTCTCTCGATATGCAACCGATAGCCATACCCACGTAGGTACATGCTGGCAGCCACCTTTTTCCTGCTCGGCGGCAAGATTTACGAAGCCGCCGCGATGGCCGAAGCGGCCGACCAAACGCTCGTGCTCTCGCTCCTCATTTGCAAGCTTGCCGAAGCCGATGCCAATGGCCCGGTCACGAAGCAAGTGCTTTGCAACATGGTGCTGTCGCGCGCCAAAGCGTGTGGCGACGTGTACTTGGAAGCGCTGGCGCAGCTCCTCTTGACGGGCGAGTTTCCGTACATGACGTTGCTGACGCCGCCGACCACCGACATGCGCTGCGGCTTCAACACAACATGCACCACGTACTGGCGCGACATGAACCAGTCCTTGTACGCGGCCTGTGCCCTCGTGCGCTATGACTTTACAAGGCGCGTCTACAGCGACGCCGACACGCAGCTCGTCGTCGCCCTTCACGTCAAGGTAGCATCGTGAATTCGACGTGTTTCGACGACCGGTGTCGTAGGCTGCCTCGCGCCTCTTGGCGCAAGGCCTCACGCGGTCTGCGTACCGCTGTTGCAGCGACCTCTTGGAGAGCTTTGGGGACCTTACGATTCCAGAGATGGCCAATGTCATGTTACAGCACACCAAGGTCGCCAACGTCTGCAGCCAGCTCGCCGCCGTCTCGGAGCGCCTCGTGCGCGCCACGACCGAGTCGTTCGAGACCAAGGACACGAGCGAACTCGGCCCGCTTCTCGCCAACCTGCAGGAGGAGCTGGACGCGTTTGCGAGTGTGCGCCTCGCCGACGTGGACGACCGCCTCCGGCAAGATCTCCCGCTCGTTCACGTGCTGGCGACGCACGTAAGCGCGGCCCGCAGCGTGACGGCGCCGCTCCATGTCTTTTTGAACACAATCCTCGCGGGGGGCGCGCCGTGGGCGGCGCTCCGGGGCGCGGTGGTCTGGACGCAGTACCTGCACATTGTGTTTGCGCGATGCATCGAGCCCGACTCGAGCACCATCCGGCTCGCGTCGACGTGCATTTACAGCGCACTCTGCCTCGCGCTGCCCGTGGCCACCAAGAGCCTCGACGCATGCTGCGTGGCGCGGCTGGTCCACGTTCTCTTTCCTCAAAAGGAATTGCACGAGATGCCCAGCGACAAGTGCTACACGTGCCACGTGTGGCGACCGAAGAAGAAGGCGCCGGCGTCCTTGCGCCAGGACCTTCCGACGCTCCACCAAGTGCTGCAGCAGCTCGTGGGCTTGCAGCCAAAGTGGCCGCCGCACAAGGCCGCCAGCAGCACCGACGAAGCGTGTGCATGCGTACGTCTCTTTCACGCGGCCGCGTACCACTGCATGGCTGTACACGCAGCACGGATCCTGGGCGACCCCGACGACGTCTTGAGTCGGCAATGGACGCGCTGGGCCGCGAGCTCGCCCCGCGTGATCGCTCCTTGCAGCAACGCATGCTGCCCGTGGCGCCATCTGACGCTGCAGCTCGCACCGTCCCTTGGCAACCACAACCAGGTCCACGACGCGACGAATAAGGAGCAGCTGCCATCGCCGAGCTCGATCGAGGTCATCTACAAGAGCCAAGTGCCCGGCGAGGCAGTCAAAAGCATGTGCTTCAACCCTGAGCAGCGCAGCACGGTCGTGCATTGCAACGGCCGATTCATTTACCGTTCGACGGCCAAGAAGCCGCGTCGCGATGCGCCGCTGAGCGACCTCTCGAGCCTTTGCCAGGTACGTACGCCATGATGTTGCTTTCATGCACAGGTCTCGTGTAGCTACAAGTCAACACGCGCTTCTCGCCGCCGCCTGCGTTTGCCAACGAGATGGAGGTGTCGCCCAAGATGACGCCGGCCAACCCGCTGTCGCCGACGCCCGACAGCCGGTCGACGAGCTACCGCCCGATCGCTCTCACGGCGCACCCGTCGCTCTCGGTGTTTTGCGCGGGCACGACCAAAGGCAACGTCGATCTCTGGCGCTTTGAGAACCCGACGGCGCCGCTCGGCAGCTTCGAGCACCACGTCCCCACGGTACGTTCGAGTTGCTCGTTTGCGTGCGATGGACAAGGTGTCTGTAGTTGAATCCGCTCACGCAACTGGCAGCGCCGCGCCGCGACGTCCATCGCATTCGGTTTGAAAACAGCGGTCACACGGTAGTTTGCCTTCCATCCGAGCATCACCATCCTCATCACGGTGCTGTGTATGCAGCTTGGCGCGTGTGACAACGTGGGGTTTGTGTACCTGTGGAACTTGGCGCGCCCGGGTGCTACGCCCACCTCCAGTACAATCAAGAAACAGGCCTCCATCGACATCTCTCTAGTGCCACAATCGAGGGACGCGCGACTTTACCTTTCTCAACGCGTCGAGCTGCCTCGCGTCCGTGGGGGCGTCGACCAAGTACGCTTCCAAGCGTGCGATTGCGTCACGTGCATATTGGCCGTAGGAAGAAGAGTCTCTGCTTGTGGGACACGCTGCTGCCGCCGCAAAAAGCGCTCATCTCGGCGCCCGTGTGCCACCCGCTGGGCGCAACCGCTGTCGTCTTTTCGTCGCGGCACCAGGTACCGACCGTGTGATGTCGTCGTTCAAGCGCGCGTGTAGCTTCTCATCTCGGGCGGCGAGAGCGGTGGCCTCAGCGTCTTTGACGTGCGTCGACAGCGCATGCTGCATACCGTCTCGGGCGCCCACGACAGCGCGATTACAACACTTGTCTTGCACCCGCGCGGCCACTCGGTGCTCTCTGGCTCGGCCACCGGCGACATCAAGGTAGTACCCCACGTGCCATAGGCGTCGTGCGATGCGCAAGTAGATTTGGGCGCTGCCGCTCTTCCGGGAACTCGCGTCGTGGCTCACGGGCAAGGCCAAGCCGGTGGTCGCAACGTTCTTGGGCGACACGACGTCGGCCTTCGTCGCGCCGGTGCGATCCGAATGTCGATGCCAGCAACGGGTTCATGACGGTCTATGTAGACCATCACTGGCGTCACGGACGCCTTTGCGACCGACGACTTTTTCTACACGAGCCACTCGGACGGCTCGATCCAGCGCTGCCAAGTCCCGACGTTGCTCGACTAGTAGTGTACTAGCTCGGAAAAAAGCAGCACGATGCACGGATGATGATGCACCCAGTTCCTATCAAAGGCGTCCAGCAGCAGTGGCGTTGTTGGCCAGCACCTGGTCGGGTCTCCGCACGCGAGGGGTGTCTCTAGTCGGTTGCAATTATGCGCCGACGACGCTCGACCGGTTCTCTCGCTGGCTCGTCGGGCCTGTCACGCGCATGGCATTCGGTGGCGTTGGGTGCACTGTAGCTATGGCCGTAGTTGCAGTGCGCACCTCCGCGCATTAGGCTGCTTGGCTTCGTCGACCGCTCGATCTGTGCGTGGGAGCGAGCGCTTTGGGCTCTGTCGTGGCAAGCTGTGGTCGAAGATCGAGATGCCGCTGGATTGGCTGAATTACAGCCAATGAAAAGGAGGTCAGTTGCCAAGAGCCAGGGCCGTGCAGTCGAGCGAGCATGACCTGGATGACGCCGATGAAGCGTGCTCTCATACAGTTTGACAAGAAGCTGCCGCCGAGTACGTCGATCGATGTCGCCCATGGCACCTCATGTGCTCTCTACTAGTGCAGCACCTGGAGCCGATCCCCAACATGCTCTGCTGGAGCCTGCCCAACGGCGTGGCATGCCACCACGACGCGTCGTCTGCCAAGAAGCGTACGCAGGATACTACGGACGAAGCACTTGGCTCATTTTAGCGTGATGCTCAGATGCGTGCACGTGCTGCGCGAACGACGTGGATATCTGGTGTTTCGACTGCAACCGCCACATGTGCGGGCGTTGCAGTAGCATCCATCACGCCAGCCACCGACGCTTTGCGCTCCAGGGTACGCGCGTGCTGCAGAGTATGCAAGGTGCATGGGAGCGGGTAGGACCGCGTGGCACGACCGTGGTGCAGACAGCGTGGTCGCCGGAGTTTGTTGCCTTGGCGCAAGACGAGATGCGGAAGACCATGGTGCGACGCACAGCCTTGTACTCGTAGCGTTCGAGCTTGCGCCGTAGGAAGTCGTCAAGGCGCGCGCGCGAATGAAGACCGGCGGATCGACGTCGCCACCCGCGTCACCGACGCAGACGCGCGCCTCGGTCGTCGACGTGTGTTTCGAGACGCAGCAGCAAGGCGACAGCGTGGCCGAGATCACGCAGGGAATGCAGACGCTGGACCCGTCCGAACACGCCCAGTTGGATGTCCTCGGAGACGTGCTCGTCGAGAAGTACACCCGCTGGAACAAGGCAGTGGTGACGGCGAGCCAACAGCTCCACGCGCACGCCGCCCGCGTTGGCAGTGCGTCCGAAGACGTGTCGTGGCTGGGTGTGAAAACGTTTTCTGGAGCTCGAGCGCGAATACA